TGCAGCTTTTTCACTTGGAATGAATATAAGGACGCAAGAATGCCTACTTGGTGCTAAGCACCATGCTATGTAAACATATGCACTGTGGCATCACAGATTATAGGCACGTTAGACACTCTCCCTGAATAATTATCCACTCTTGATAATATCTGTTATAACTCAGCAGGATTAGGTCGGACGATTGCCACAAGGTTCAAGATAAAATGACCCATTCTTCATCATACCCACCAACTGGATCATTTTCACCTGCTACGACAGATATATGCAATTGCAACTGAAATACAGCATAAAAGTATGCAAAATACTTTAAATTGCATTAATGTAAATGAAAGATGCCATTTTAGTGACAAAACTTTTCAAGCACTAATGTTCCTTATATGCAATATATCTTGTAACTAACTATTATTGATTGATTATACATGCATACATAATGAAAAGAGACTTGATCAATTAATTCATTAGACTAGTTGATAACTGATATACTTGAAAAGTAATTGTAAATGAAATATGTAGGCAATATTTGTAATATACAAAGCTGCAAGCAGTATTTGTATTGTTGTTTGTAAGGTACTTGTATTCATATTTAAATACTTTCATGTTGCACTCGACCCAACTACAAGGCCTTGAAATTGCAATACAGGTCTACTGTGTTGTCATTGTGGAATAGTCACATTATGGTGTCATTGTACATGCATGTGATGTAGTTTTGTCTATACTTCATGTATATACCTCTATAGGGTGAAATTTAAGAATTGAAATACAAATAGGCCTTATCAATGTTTATTGAGTAGCAAAAGTTGTGGCAAATAAAAAAACTGGTGAAAGTTTGATAAATTAAATCATTAATAGTGTAACGACTTGCATCTGACCCACAGTGCCTTGCCTTAGTGATTGCAATCGTAAACTTTGCTTACATGTATCATAATTTATTCTTTCACATTGAAAGTCCAACAGTCATTGATCTTGTTATCTATATTATCATTTGCTATATTGTATTATAATTTTATTAAAGATGCTTGTAATGTTACTATAGGGTGTCAATAATTATGCCCTTTTCCAAATAAATGTATGTATTACTCATTTATTTTGTTCCTTAATACCTCTTATTGTACATTTTTGTCTCTTTCTCTCGCCCTCATATGCACATGTATACCAAACACCTTTTTTTCGTTTCCTTCTCTAGGTATACCTATCACATGTCTACACGGTAGTGCAAGTAAGCAACAGTGTTTATCAACATTGCTGTTATTATTATAGTGCAGTGTTAGATCACTTGAGATCCCATCAAATGCACTTGCTACAATATGTGGTAAATATTGTGGGAAAAGAAATGCATGCTAAAAACAATAGCAAGACACAGTGCACACAATAGTACATTACATTTATGTAGTCTTTCTGGTCGTTTCAGTTATTGTACAGGAGAATGGAAAGATACCAATTAATGATTAAAGCAGATCCAACTTGTATAAGTACGTGTAACATTAACATCACTGTACAATTAAAAATCACCATTTCTTTTTCTACAAATAAAACAGTGAACTACTCTTATTTTTGTAATCAAGAAGCAGTTAGACCTTATTCCATGAACAATTATTCATTTACATACTTATTAGAATGTGTCAAGACAATTATTGAAATGCCAAATCAATTATAATGGTATAACATATTAGAAATAGCCTTGGATAAATTCCAGGAAATACTAGACCTATCTCAGGACAACTGGCTCATTATCAGGTGACATGCATGGGAAGAGCTGGAGCAGCTTGCATGCATGTGAAAGGTATTGAAAAGCCAGTTGCAGCAGACAATTAAACAGCAATCATGCATTACAGGTGCCTTGATAAATTTATGTACTGTGTGGAGACAAAATTTGTGGATAATTAATTCTCACTACTTTTCCTGTCAGTACTAATTTGTAAACCTCCGTGAAATTTTTTATATACAATGGCTTCCAAAAAGTGTTAAAATCTATTCCTTATTTCTCAATATTAAACACCACAAAATATTTGTACCCATATTATATAATGATACTATGTACTAAACAAGAAATTTCTTGTTGAGCAAAATCGTAAAATCTTTTTGTCATCACTTCATTGTCCAAGTCCTTGTGATATTACTCAATATATGTCTTTTTCCTCTTCTGATACTCTGTCCTCGGGAACTAAACTCCAACAT